GTGTGATCATATATGTGACAGTGACCTCTCTTCACCACCCCTCCTTCCTACGGCTCCAGCCTTCCCTGGCTCCTGCTCCATGCTCCATAAAAGTCAAATTCTTATCTTAGGCAGTGTAGTTTGTGTATGACTTGCTATATAGAATCTAATGAAAGACAGAACAAAGGACCGGAGAGTTGGTAGAAGTCAAGATGAGCTTAGGGTGCAAATACCTTGGCTGCAGTACCAACCCCAGTCTCCCTGAGATCTGCCCACGTGCAGAACAAAGAGCTGCTGTGGTCTTCCTGGAAGTGAGTGTAACGTAGGAGATTCAGGTAAAGACTGAATTCCCTTTAACTGTTTGTCAGGGTTTCTCTCATTCAGCTCCGTGTGGACACCAGGCCCCAGGGCTTTGTCAAGGTGCTAGGACAAACCTAAGAGTTGTCATCTACTGTTGCATGCGTGTCTTTGCCGTGGTGCTTTCCTGTCCTGAAGTCGGGTCATTAGGAACAAGGGGGAACTTGGGGTGCAAGTTCTGAAGAAGAGCGTCACCTTCTAGACCAGTGGATCTAAAATGGGGAGCATAAGGCTCACGGGTATGGGACCCTGCAGAAGCAAGTTTTCAGGGCCCGGTTTTATGTTTTTCATATTTGGTTCTGTTAAGACAAATATCCTTTAGAGTGATCCACATTTGCTTAGCAGGGCCAAATAGGAAAGGCATAGAGTATGCCTCTGTCCCCTGTCACTGGATTACGTCAGCCTTGGGTTCCTCCTCTGCAGAGAGCAAGCATCTCCAGCATCTGATGTCTGAGGATGCAGTGAGACAGACTTACCATGACTCCTAACGGTAAATGACAAGCACATGCTATGACCATTTTCCCTAGGGGAACATAGACAAAAGAACTACTCGCTCCAGATAGGACACCAGGGTCCGATGAAAAGAACCATTCTACCAGCGTCCAACTTGACGAAGCAATGGGTACGTTCACATTATGTATAGAGCACAAGTGAGGGGTGAGAGAAATATGGATGATTCAGGGCAGCTGAATTGTCAGAAAGCCTACCCTAACCCGGGTGACAGCCCAAAGGCTGCAACCCTGGAGTGCCCTGTACAACTGACAGGCGGCTGGGCCATCACCAAGTCTCGGCTCCTCAGCCATTCTGTTGCTTGTTTAGCCTTGGGGAGGGGCCTGGTGAATCTTGTGCACTTCAGCTCTCCGACACGTAAGTTTTGATCATCTCCTGAGTGTTATGAACCTCCCACCTAAAAGGAAGTTGATACAAAATCGCACTATAATTTGGTTGTTGTGACGATGGTTATTACTGTCTTATTGGGAAAAGTTACTCAAAGAAAAAAATGTAAATGATTTCTGAGGAAATGTGTGTGTGATGTCTGTGTGATGTTCATGGCAGCGTTATTCTCATCAGCCAGAAAGAGTGAACAGCGCCAACATCCGTCAGTGCTTGAATGGATAAACTTTTGTGATATGGTCATAGAAAGGAATTCAGCCATAAAAATGAACACAGTACTGATACATGCTACTACAGCATGTATCATGGATGGGCCTTAAAACACACCAGGTCAAAGAGACCAGGTCCCAGAGACCACATATTTTATGACTCTGCGTCAATGGATGATGAGAATGGAGAAATCTGTGAGCTGTGTACAGCAGATCAGTAGCTACAAAGGACTGGGTAGGTGAGCTGAGACGTAGACATTGATAGCTAAAAGCACTCTGAGTGAGGTTCCTTTCTCGGGTGACGGCACCTGTCAAACATTGGCCAACTTGGAAAGAGGCACGCGTACCTGGGAATGCGCTGAAGCTGGGGGCTCTGCAGTCGGAGGAGTGTGTCGTGTGTGAACCACATCTCAGGGAAGCTGTTTTGAAATCTTTATTGAAAAGGGAGTCATTTCAAGATGGTTTGCCTGGGAGGGCGGGACAGACGTGCACAGCGAAGAACTGTGGTTAAGTTCGGGAAGTGGTGGAGACAAGCCAGCCGGCAGCGTCCCGCCTGCTGATGAGCCCTGAAAGGAGAGCATCTTGAATTGAGGTGAAAGTGAAGATTAGTTTGCATCCTTAAGTTGGGAAGAAGTTCAAAGGTCATCTAAGGAGAGCATGCCCTGGTCGCTCTCAGCATTTCTGCTCAGCCAAACACTTCTTAATCTTTGCTTATACCAAGAACCTAAAAATGCACTTGGGGATGTTTGTGGCGTGGCTTTGGAGGAGACGGGACTTGGGAAAGAATGCGTTTGACCCCGGAGCGGGAGGAGAAAGGAGAGTGACAACAGCTGTCCCAACTTGTGACTGAGATGCTGCATGCTCCTCATACCTAGTGTGAGGCCCAGGGCAAGCTCTGAGTTAAACCAGACCGTGTCAGGACCACAGAGCACAGCAAAAACAAGAGAAAGAAAGGGCCTGCTGGGTTTGGGTGCCCCACTGGGAATTCAGTCATACCTTGGGAGCTTCTCAAAGGCCAGCCCTTAACTCCCCGAAGCAGTGGTTCTCAACCACTTCGACCCTTGAAGACAGATCCTCACGTTGTAGTGATCTCTCCAACCACAAAGGGATTTCACTGCTACTCTTACCTGTAATTATCTACTATTCTGAGTCATAGTGTAAATATCTGATATGTGACCCCCGTGGGAGGCAGGACCCACAGATTGAGAAACTACTGTCCTACAGTCTTTCAGAAGGTCACGGAGCACCTGAACAAATAAGAAGACAGGATATAGCTTTCCAGAAGGTACTCAGTGGTTATGAGGAGAAATTGATCCCAGTCAGAGAATGAAGGTACCATCACCAAATGCACCTGGGAAAGGGCAGGGGTGACCGCCATAGTCTGACCAATAGATCCAGCCAGAATGCCAGAAGTCCTTCAGTCTCTGCTATGAAAACATAGAGACTGTGCTTCCTGCCCAACCCCCAGACTGGGTCAAGCTCCTTGCCTGGGTCCTCCCTGCCATGCATGTCTGGCTGTCCCCACCTTGCCCAGCCATCCTGTGCTCTATTGTGAGCTTCCTCCTCTCCAGATCCATATAAGCATGCCTATGGGTACCTCACTCCCCATGCTCCTCCATCCCCCCTCACTGCTGGATGCTGCTCTCTCTCCACACCTCACCTCAGCGGCCATCCTTCCCCAGAGAAGCCTTCCTAGCACCTCACCAAACGTGACCTCCCACCACGGCTTGCCGGCAGCCACTGTGATTGGTTCCTGTTTAACACTTCTCATTTTGGCCAAGTGTATCTTTGTAGCTTATATATAGCCTCACTTTGCTAGCTTTTCAACTATAAACGTGTGGAGGAGGAAGGCAGGAATTGAAATCTCTCATTTCCCCCAAATAGCCCAGGAACCTGGGATAGTGCCCTGCTCGTGGAAGATGCTGGAAGAGACAGCAGAAGGGCTTTGTCTTTAGAGAGAGAGCTGCATAGCAGGCATTTCTAAATTCATTATCACTGTCATTATTGCGTGTGTGTGTGTGTGTGTGTGTGTGTGTGTGTGTGCACATGTGCACATGTGCACGCATGCATATTGCAAAGCACCATGTACAGATCAAAGAACAACTTTGTGGAGTTGGTTTGCTCCTTCCACCTTTGGGTGGGTTCTGGCAGTTGAGAGCCTGCGGAGACATCTTGCTGACACCCAGAGCAGACATTTCTATACGCAGAGTGCCGGGATGCCTGCTTTCCTGTCTACTTGCTGTTAGCATCCGAATGCCTTTCCCATGGCTTTACTTCTACCAGTATTTATTGGACACATTTTATTGAAATGAAATCAGTTTCTCAGTGATTGAAAATAGATATCCTGGGACACAGGGATAATTGATGCTGAAGTTTACATCTCTGTGTCAGAGTTATAGTCTGCATTGTTGAGTTGGGGGCATTAAGGGGCTGGCGGTCTAGGAAAGAGACAAGTCTCATTGTTAGCTTTCACTAGGTACAGCCATTGCAGACGGGACCATAGTTTCTGCGTAGTGCCAACCACCTAGTGAGGCTGGCTTCAGGCTGGCTTCACCCACTTCCCACGTGTCTGCTGTAGCACAGAGCAAGAAAACCCCATTCCCATGGGTCGCAGCTGGGACCAGAGTGGAGATCTCAGATGCGCTCTGCATGGAAACATGGGGCTGATGCTAGCCAGAATGCACACCCTGGGCACATTTGCAGCGAGGCGTAATTCCTTGGTCTCGTTGAGTCTCATATCTCTGATTTCTGTACAGATGTACTCCACAGATAAGAAAAGGGCTTTTATTTTTGAATCACCAACACTCATAGTAATGTTTAACCTCAGAGGGAATCTAGTGGTGACCAGAGTGAGCAACTAAGGGGCTGGGTGGTAGTTAGCCTTTAGCATGCTGGGCATTAGAGGTGGGGCAGGTTTGACTGAATCACCCCTACTGAGTCAATGCCTGGTTAAAATAAACCCTCAATATGTATTTTCTGCCCCATTTGACAGATGAGGAAACTGAGCTCTAGGGATTGCATACATCTTGAAATTGTGTGTATGTTCAAGACCGCATAGCCAGTACATGGTGACAGTCCAGGCTTTTAATAGTGAGAGTCGGAAACCATATAAGGTAGGCTGTAGGCCAGGGTGCCCAGGTGAGTTTGCTCACCATGAAGCGATTTTCAGTGGTGGGATCTGAGGACAGAAAGCATCCCTAGGGAGGCTGGACTCCCACAATGCTTCTGCCTTGCTTTCTCCCATGATGCTTCACTTCAGAAGAACGCTTTGGTTTTTAGAGGGAAGGATGTTGAGGAAGCCCTGCTGGTACCTCTAATCATTCAGCATGGCTGGCTGTCTCTGGAACTTTAAAGGAACCCGGAGGGGGCTGGAGAGATGGCTCAGTAGTTAAGAGCATTGCCTGCTCTTCCAAAGGTCCTGAGTTCAATTCCCGGCAACCACATGGTGGCTCACAACCATCTGTAATGAGGTCTGGTGCCCTCTTCTGGCCTGCAGGCATACACACAGACAGAATACATACATACATACATAATAAATAGATAGATAGATAGATAGATAAATAAAAAATAAATAAAGGAACCCTGAGCTAAGCATACTCTCTCCTCAGAAGAAGCCTGAGCTACTACAGGGAAAGAGAATGGGTTTGTGGATACTGCAAGGGCCACAGCAGGTCCAGGGAGTCGCCTTCGTTTTTGCAAGCCATCAGCCCCAGCCCGGTCGGGAACCCGCCTCAGGAGCATGGGTTTTGTTGATCTCTCTGTGACCCTCTTTGCAGCGGCATGTGAGAGGCTGGGCCCTTGTGTTCTCACACTAACCCTGAATGAGTAAGCCCCAGTCATCCCTTCCATCTGGGGCTGTGGAGAATCAGTCCTGGTAGCCGCTGGCAGGTGCCACAGGAGCCTGCTAACGCCCCTGCCGTCCAGGCTCCTCACTGGAAAGAAGAAGGAAGCCTGAGGTGCAGTGCATCAGCTGAGGAGAAAGTGAGACTCCGAAACCCTCTGTCCAGTTCGTCCAGCACACCCCACAGTGGACAGGTGGGCCTTCATTCCAGCTGTGGTTCATTTAACATAGTCTCCAGCGGGCCTGTTTAAAGGGGGAGGTGTGGACAGGCCCAGGGGGTAAGGTCAACCCCGACCCCCAGACCCCAGCTACTCCCCCGGTCCCGTCACTTTGTTCCTCTCCGCTGGGCAAGCCAAGCCGGGAGGGTTTCTGCATCTGGATGACTATTTGTAGTCGTGCTTCAAGGTTGGCCACGCTTGGTCGTGGGGGAGAGCGGTGCTCTGGATTTCTGAGAAAAGGCTCTTGATTAGGAAAGCAAAGCCCTACCTACAGATTCTACCTCAGGTGTCTCCTGCTTCTGAAGGCATTGCAAGCAGACATTATTGTCATTTTATAGGTGAAGACCAGAGAGTGTTAATGACTTAACCCTGCACCCCACAGCTAAGGGAAAAAGTGGGAGATAGAGCAGATCCGAGTCTGTCAGTCAAAGCCCGTGAGTTTCCTGTGGGAGACAGTGGTCAGGACAAAGACGTACAGAGATACCTGCCTGAGACACTGATGTAGCCAACAGGTACAGTTTAGTAGCATAGTTTCAGTTGCAGGGTGAGCTGAAAGCAGGATGCTGTTGAGTGAAAAGCTGAGGTTGGCATCATGTCTCTCTGGTGACGTTTATGCTCCTTGGAGACACGTGCTACCAAAGGGAACCCGACCGGATCTGCGAAGGATTCCCATTGCGGTACATGGTACAGGGTTGTACTGCCAGGGCTGTACACAAAGATGCCTTACAGTCAGCTGTGAGGAGTTGACACCTGCCAAGGTGGCGACAGGAACAGGATTCCTCTCTCTCTCTCCTGCTACCAAATGGTGGAGACAGGCGCTCCCTCCCCTGCCATATTTGGGAACACCAATGAGGTGCTCACGTCACACGGGGAGTAATGGGTTCACAAGGGCACGGAGTAGGGGGAAGAGGAGTTGGGTGAGTGTTGATAGTCGTACTCCTGAGGTAGCGCGGCCCTGAAGACCTGGGAAAACAGAGGAGATAGCTCTGAGGGAAGGGATGTTTTGTTCAACAGGAGGCGGGGATAAATGATCCTCTTGTCTTTATGTATAGAGAGGAAGGTGATGAGAAATTTAAAAATCCCAGAATTTGGACACTTGCCAGAGCAGGTCACTGGAGCCTGAGAAGAGAAGCTGACAAGGGCCTGGGACCCCTAGCAGGAGGCGTGGTGTCTGATCCCTCCCTCTCAGGGCAGACCTCATCTTCCCTGCCAGCTTGCCACAGTGCCTTACCTGTGGTTGCAGGCTGACCACACCAAATCACATCCCTACAGATATGGAAGATGCAGAGATGGTAGAGAGCACCCAACAGAGATTCAGATGGAAGCTACAGAGCCCAACCACATTAGGGGGAATGCACTTAAAGTCTGAGTGAGGGCCGAGACGGGAGCTGGGAGATCGGGGTTCAGCTCAGAGTATAGAATCAAGAGAAAACTGCTACCGTCCAGCTGACATTTCAAAGAAGAGCTCACTTGGGCAGTGGGGAAGATGGGGGAGCAGTCGTTGGTAGAACAGCAAAGGAAGTGCTGTGGCCACCTCCTTTGGTCCTCTTGGGGCCACCCCACACTTAATACCCTAGCCCAAGCTGTCCCCTCAGGGTCCGAGCAAGAGTTTTGCCTTTCTTCTAGAAAAAGAAAATCACCCTGACTTGTAAATCTTTTTTAAAAAAAGAAAAAACCTCTTCAGTCTCTTCTAAGCAAGACTGAACTTCATCTGGATTCCACCTGAGAAGAGCAAGCATATAAACGTCTGGCATAAACGGCACGGGCAAGACTGAGAGCTCACCTGGAGAGACTTACAAGTGGTTCACATTCAAAGCCCGTGTCACTGACGCTAATCAGAGAAACAGAGCGTTTAGTCCTAGCATCTGGCACAAAACTCCTGCTTTTATGTCTCCCATTCTCCCCCCACCCCCCGGAAGGTAATAAAACCCACAATTGTATCGCGCAATCAACATGGCAGCTCTTCAGGCACTCCTGCACACGCTGCACGCCGGCGCCTCAGCCTGCCTCGGGTAGGAGACCCAGATGCCACTGCTTCGGCTTCCTTCTTGAGAGACTGGGCTAGGCGGTCTCACCACTGTGTGTCAGGGAAAGCAGCTCTGTTTCCCCTGAGCTACCGAGCAGGGTGAGCTAGAGAGAGGAGGCGCGGTGGGATTGACAGGGACAGAGGTAAAGCCATCACAGAGCAATCCAGCTGCAGTATTGAGCTGTTTACCTCAAAGCCAGAAGTGTCATCTCAGACTCAAGTGGAGGGTTTTGCTTCAGAGAGAGTGTGTGTCGGTCACCGGTGATACGTAAGGGAGACGAATTTAGTCTGTGCTCGGAGCGTCCGCGTGACAGCCGTGTGCAGCACTGGTGTGGGTGCTTTTGGAGGAAAGTCCGTTTTGAACGACCCACAAGATCTGCCGTAAGGGGTCCGTGCTCGAATAGGCCAAAGTCTTCATATTTTAACTCACTTAATACTGAATTAAATAAAATACAGTGAAAGTCACAGATATATATGTGGGGGCTCTCTGGGCAAGGTAATTTTTGTCTTTTATAGCTCAAGTTCCCGTAAGAGTGTAATAGAGAGAGAAGGTTCCGCTGACGCCTGCCACTTGGCTTTTTCTTCTTGATGGTTTAGAAATTCATCTTGCTGTTTTCACACCACCTGGAATGGTTCAGTAGCTTTCTTTGTGGACATGCACAGAGTCTCACAGCGACTTAACCTGCTTATTTATTCATCTCCTAAATGTTACGAGTATGGGCTTGCAGCTCAATCTGGCTTCTGATAGTTTGTCTTCTAATAGTTGGAATCTTAAGAATTTTACTTTCCCCATATTTGAAGTGAAAGACATCATTTCTTCCTTCTGAGCACGGCACGCTAGGTTCAATTCCCAGAAAAACAAAGTCCAGGATAGACCCTAGTCAAGGATGAGATAAGCCAGGTGTTCAGAACATGCTGTTTAAGGGGGTCCTGGATCATAAGGATGCAGATGTGCAAAGCCAGCATCTGTGATTGGTATCTCCTTAAGTGGTATGCCCAGGTGTGCCCCCTCACCCTCCAGTCCAGTCCTGGTCCTCATTAGGATCTCCAGATTGTTTGGGATACATCAGCAATAGCTGGGTTTTCCAGCCTTCTCCTCTGGAAATTTATTAAGGGCCTGCTAGATGTCAGTGGGTGCAGGTGACTGAGAGCAGACATGGCTTATGGGGAAGGGACGCTGATCTCCAGGTGCCTTGGCGAGTTACAACACAGATGAATGCCGGGTCCTGTAAAGCCCTTCCGGCTTATGTCACATCTTTTCCTCCATTACATGTGGGCCAATAGATCTGAAACAAATATCTCTAGGTGACCAGAAAGCTCAAAGGTTGGCTGTGTTTAACGGGATTATTTTAAAATTCTCCATTTGTGTTTTATTTATAAGCAATAAAATCCGCTCCATCCACCCGGCTACTTACCTTTTGTCCGGCTTGAAAAATGAAATGAGTTTGTTCTGGGCACTGTGTATTCAGCAGGCTCCTAATCGCCCCCATACATCTTGCTGGCCAATAATATGTAAAGCCATGCCCCAGGCATGCTAGAGCCTGTATAAGTATCCGCTTCTCTCTCTTTCTCTCTCATCTCCCAGGTAGTAATTTATCCAGGAAATGTATTTCCAGTAGGTTAGGTATTAAGCTCTCTCCTCACATAAAATCTACGCTGGATATCTCTGATCAAATTATAATTTTCAAAGTATTCTATCACTGTGTCCAGTTAAATTGTTCCTAATGTTTTCCCATGACTGAGTGACTTTCAAAATCTTGACTGCTTTACAAAAGTGCCTTCTCAAATGCTTTTTTAAGACTGGCCCAAACAATCACCAGAAAGTGTTTGCCCACTTGGAAGAAAATCAAGCTAATGAAATTTTTTTTTACTTATTATCTGTTTGTTTATTGCTTTTCTGGTTTTCTCTCCATTTGGGGGCTACCTTCTTTGAGCTGGCTATTGTAGCTACAGAGACAGCTCCCTGTGGTCTCATCACTCAGGCCTGCTGATATTTACTGCTTTGTTGCTCTTTTAAAATCCAGTCTGACGTTTCTCCGCTCAAAACGTCGCCTCTTGTCACTGGTGGCTTTTTATAAGACGCCGTTATGAAAGTAAAATATCTTTCCCTGGGTTTTCACTCCAAACCAAGTGGAGGGAAAGCTGAACACAGGGAATCCGAAAAAGATGTAGGCAGGGTGTGGTGATTCAAAGTTCGTGTCACCCTCGGGATCACCGACGTCACGATCTCAGCTGGTGTTTTCAAGGGCTTAGCCCTCCCCAGATACTTCCCATCATCTCTTAACGGTGCCGACTCTGGACTAGGCACCATGAACACATCAGTGAACAAGACAAGCCCAGCCCCTGCTTCATGGAGTTTGCAACTGAATGCAGACATCCCTGAACTTGCTGTAACGGGTCAGATAACAAAGATTTGCGGCTTAGAAAGTCACAAATGTCACAGCGACTGACCTTTGCCTTCTGTGGCAAGGCATCAGATAACCTAAAAGGGAGTGAAGCTTAGCACGGTACAACTTCACTTAGAAAAGCAGGCAATGAGTTGATCTTGGTACCCACCTGTGCCCTAGCGGTGTTGAAGCGGGAGGATTATCAGTTCAAGGCCTTGCACTGCACAGTCTATTTCAAGCCAGCCTGGGATACACAGCTAGACCCTTTCTCCAAAATAGGATGTGGATGAGGACTTGGGAGATGCCCCCGTTGGTAAAGCTATCCTAGTGCAAGCAGGAGAGTCTGAGTCGGATTCCCGGCACCTACATGAAAAGGCTAGGTCCAGCAGGGCATGCCTGTAATAGCTGTACTAGGGAGGCAGAGATGGGGTGGGTGAGAATCCCTGGGATTTGCTGGCCAGCCAATCTAGTTGAATAGGGAAGATCCAGGTTCAGAGACTTAATCCTAAGAACCAGGATGGAAGTCGTTGAGTAAGTCAGCTGATACTGACGTCTGGCCTCCACATGAACACATACACACATGTGCATATACCTTCACACACAGAAACATGCCTGCATATACATGCCTGAAAAATCAAAAGCAAGTCATGGTTGGATTTGACCTTGGCTCACTAGCCATAGTTTGCTGACCCCTGAACAGATAAAACATCGAAAATAAACATAACAAACACCACATGTGGTGATAGCCATGGAAGAAACACGGAGTGTAGGAGTGGGCGAGTCTGGGGAGCCTTCCTGCTCCAGAGAGACCCTGAATCCCCACAGAGGTGCTCAGTGGGAGGCAGCAGTGTAAAGAGAAGTAAGGAATGACTCACAGTGACGAGAACTTGCTAGCCATAGGCCTCAAGAAGGCAAATGCCTGCTGAATGCGAGGCACTAATGGATGACTTTAGACCCCTCTGCATCATCCCAGCTTTCTGTCCGTGAAGGCTGTTGTTCCTTTAAATCGTGAGAACCTGTTGACATCTCCCAAAATCTGACCAGGCTGCTCCAACTGTCCTGAGGGCCAGGCTCTTGTTCTGTTTCTTCAGGGACCTTTCACTAGCACGTGGGTTATAGAAAGTGTGCTGAGAATGTGTCAGGCTAAAATAAAACACATGGTATGCATGCTTAGAACGTGTCAGACTAAATAAATAAAGCGCCTGGTTGCATGCATGTTCCTAAAAGAGAATAAGGAAAAAAGCAGGAAGAGAGTAGCCTCCCGTCAATCATCCAGGGGAAAGGTCTCTAACAGATACCCAGGTCACCATTCAATGGCCATACGTGTGTGTGCACACCCATTGTACGTGTTGTTTGATTCTAGAGTTTTACTGTCTGGAAAGCAGGATGCTGTGCTGTCGACATATGACAGTGTCCTCTGCATTTTGAACATCCACTTGAGAGATGCTCTGAGCCACAGGGAACTTTACACCTTACCATCCCTACGTGGGTACCAAAACTAACCAGGGATTGCCAGGAAGGACAGGAGTGGAGCAGGTGGACAGCTGGGGATTCGGTCACCAGAATGCACAGCCCTGTGTAGCAGGAATGACCGAGCACTGCCGCTCTCAACCGCGAAGTCAGCCTTGGGACCCATTCACACCTCCGTCACTACGTCTCTCTAACCGTCCTCCCCATGTGGTGCAGGGTGTCCCCTGAGTTAGGCTCTGGGATGTTCTGTTTCTAGGCTCGTTTCTCACTTTTCTCCAGCTACACCCAACTTTTTCCGTCCTGACAGCCCATCCTGTTATTCCAGCCATAGAACCTTTGTCCAAGTTACTAGGGCATTACGGAATTATTTCCTGGGACCTCTGCATCTTGCTCTTAGTCCTCTTTGAATACATTCTCTCTTCTTTAAACTCCTATCATACTTGGCATTTCTTTTTTCGAAGCACTTATTGTTACATAGTTTTACGCTTGCTTGTATGATTTAATTAATGCTGATTAATTTTTTGATAAAACCTGATTTTACTTCCCACTTTTTTTCCCCTCCACGTCAGACGTCAGTTTTGAATTAAGAAAGAGGCCTGCTTTTGTGTAACAGCTTTTGGTACCAATAATTTTGTTTTTGTTTTGATGTATTTGTTTGTCATTATTCTACAGTGGTGCCTAGTTGAAACTATATACATTTAAATGTGTATATACATATATATGTACATATATACATATACACATGTGCACACATATATGTACATATATGTGTGTGTATGTATGTGTGTGTGTGTGTGTGTGTGTGTGTGTGTGAATCTCTATCTGCATTTAAGCCTGCATGTCAGAAGAGGGCATCAGATCCCATTATAGATAGTTGTGAGCCACAATGTGGTCGCTGGGGATTGAACTTAGGATCTCTGGAAGAGGAACCAGTGTTCTTAGTCACAGAGCCATCTCTCCGGCCTGAAAACTAAATACTTTTTTTTGTGTGTGAGTGAGTTTTCTGGCTGCTTCCTTCTGCAGTGAGCATTTAAGTAATCTTTGGGAATGATGGTCTATTTCCAGAGGTCCAGCCGGTGGGACTTACTCACTCAGTCAAAGATGCATGGGTCCCTGACTGATGTTTCAACAGTGAAGGGAGAGGGGGAGGTAAGAGATAAGAGTCCTTTTGTGGGGGAGGATTTTCTGAACCAAAGAGGTGTTAGAGATTACTCAGTGACACCTCATAAAAACTAGTGAAGAAATGGAGGTTTAGGCCCATGGCTTACGAGATTGCCAGCCATCTTTACGGCTGTAGTTCAGTTCTTAGAACATGGGTTCTCATAGGCTTCAGTGGGAGATCTTCCTTGAGTACAGGGCCATTTTGTTCTAAAAGCTAGGGTAACCCTCAGCAAACTCACAAAGTTCCAACCCCTCCTTCTTCACTTTTCTGGATTCCCCCTAGTATGTGTGTGTGTGTGTGTGTGTGTGTGTGTGTGTGTGTGTGTGTGTGTATATATACATATATATATATCATATATATCAATGCTAGCTGATCACCTCACCAGGCCTAGCCCCCCCCTTTCCAAGGGTACCAGCATCTTCCAGAGAACCCTTCTTATGTGTACCTTATCATCCTTGGAATAGACCCACTGGTAATATTACAGGCTACACGTACATTTATACTTTCCTGGGCTTGATTGCAGCTCCGTAAATACCACACTCTAACTCATGCCTAGAGCTGCAAAACAGAAGGACCGTTGGACATGGTTGAAACTGTGTGGTCGAGTTTCACCCTGCCTGAGTGTTCAACCCTGTTCTGGGCAGAAAACGCAGCAGATTTCAAAGCCGAGGTTGGCCCCACTATGGCCAAGGTCACCTTTGTCGGAGCTGAATTCATTTGCTTTCTCCATCAGCACGTAGACGGAAGGTTAAGTCTCTAGGTGGATTTCCCCCACCTGATAGGACCATACGTCACTCAGGCCCACATTCAGCTTCTCATCTGCAGACAGAGAAAAGTTCCTGTGCCCCCGCATGCCATCTTGACTGCCTCCTTGGCAGACCTAAAACATGTTCTGCATCCTTAGTTCTAAATTCCTCCGGGGTAAGAGGATCTCCACCCACCAGCAGATTCTCACTGAAAGGGGGCCCCAGATCAAGTGGACAGCGAGGTTGTCTCTACTAGAGCACTTCTGCCGTTCCTGTGCTCGGTATTCACTGTGTGTGTGTGGCGGGGGGGGGGGGATAAGACCTGCCCTCAGCTGCGTGACGGGGCTAAGCCAATCAGAAGAACCACATGCATCTGCCTTAAGACTCTTGGGTAGTTTGGGTTTAAACTACTACATGGAATACCAAATGACACATGACGACCCGGTCAGCTCAAAGTTCATTGCTGGAAATTCATGCTTGATTCTGTTTCACTAGAATATAGTTGTGAGGCTTAGAACCAC